ATATATATATATATATATATCACTACATTTATTTGATGCTTGTTTTATATATATATATATATACTCGTTTAACCAAATTTTTATTAGTCCAATAAAATTTTTTATTGCATCAAACTAGAAAAACTAATTTTTTAAATAAATTAAATTTTTTCTAATATTTATTTATTTAAGACAAGAAAATTTTTTATTTGAAATCAAATAAATTTCAAATAAAATAAATAATAAAAAAATATGTATCGAACTTTTATTTGACATGAATTTTTATATAACAAAATTTTTGTTTACACAATTTTTTTTTTTTTAAAACGATAGCAAATTCTTAACAAGCGTAATTTTTATTTGACCGAAATTTTAAATGTCCAAATAAACATAACCTATAAAAGAATTTCGGCGTAATTTTTAAAATTGACCAATTATCAATTCGTGCAAATTTTAAAACTCGATGAATTGGAATTTCTGTCATTTAAAAATTTATATCACATAAAATTTGATTAAATAAAAATTCTGCTGAATTAAAATTCAGTTAAATTCGTATTATTTTTAATAAAAATATTTTTTTTTCAAAATCAAATAAATTGAAAACATTTATATTTCATTCAAATAAATTATTCTAAATGTTTAGAATTAAAATAAAAAATATTTCTCTTTCCAAAAATAAACATCGATAATCTATGAAAATAATTACGCAATTCCAAATAGTTATTATCATTGATCAGACATTAATTAATATTTTAACAAGAATTTCGGCCACGAGTAATTAATTTCATAATTGCAGATCGATATACCAACACACGGTTAGGTAAAATTGGTAAAAATAGATGGAGAGAAAAAAAAACTAAAGTTGATACAACTATAAAATAACGAATGAAATTTAATCCCACAGCTTTATAATAAAGAATAATATAAAGAAGTAAGGTGGCTGGGAGGGGGGAGGGACTGAAATATCTTTCATCCTCGAGTTGATAAAGTTGAAATTTAAATGGAATTACTTTCTGATTTTCCTCTCTCTCTGGACGAGAAAAAAATAAAAGAAAGAAAGTAAAATAACTTCTGAATAGAAAGATTTTCATTTTAATGTCATTTTAATCTCTCTTGCGCGCATTTGAGAAGCAAAACTATATGGTTAGTTTCGTAGTTGATGGACAATGGCAGGGGTAGTTTGCAGATAGATTTTGAATCATTATATGACAGAGAGCGGGAGATTGTTCGAAACTTTGTCTCACAGAAGGTTGGATGCTGACAAAGTTAACACTGCCAGCATCCTTGTTCTTCCATTTATTGTTGAAGAGTTAGTACAGCTCTGGCAGAGATTATATTTTACATTAATATATATATTCGTCTCAAAACAGATAGAAAAAATTTAATATATTTCTATTCTCAATTTACATTTATTCATCACGGTACATTTAATTTTATTTTAAATATAGTAAACAAAATTTCTCTCAAAAATAAAGAAAAATAACAAAATAGATTTATATTATTTAATCGAATTCCTGTTTAACAGAATTTTTATTTAACTAAACTTTTATTAAGCCAATTATAAATAAATTATAATAAAGACAATTTTTATTTGAATCAATTTTCATTCAACTAAATTCTCATTTTATAAAATATTCAATAGGCAAAACTTTTATTCCACCAATTTTTTTATTAAACAGATAAATTATTAAGCCAAAATAATAATAAACACAATTTTTATATAGCCGAATATTTATTAACAGAATTTTTATTTAGCTAAATTTTAATATTCAATTTCTTTAATTAAAATTATTAGAATATTTATTATAACGAAAAGAAAACAATTTATTTAACTAAATATTTAAGAGAATTTCAATTTAACAGAATTTTTATATTCCCGAATATTTACTAACACAATTTTTATTAAGCCAGATTTTTAAAATAAGCAGAACTGTTAGTTAGCTGAATTTTTTTGAAACGTAACTTTTATTTAGCCAAAATTTTAATATACATATCTTTTATTCAGCGAAATTTTTATTAACAAAATTTTTATCTATACAATTTTTATTTAGACAAATTTTAAACAAACAACTCTTATTTAGCTGAATTTTTTCAAACGAAACTTTTATTTAGTCAAATTTTTAATAAACCGAATTTTCATTAAACGGAACTTTTATGAATTTTTATTAACCTTAATGTTTATTTAGCCGAATTTGAATTAAACAGAACTTTTATATAGCGAACATTTTAAAAAATATAATTTTTTATTAAACGGAGCTTAACAGAGCAGAACTTTTATTTAGCGAAAATTTTAATAAATATTATTTTTTTAAAACGGAACGTTTATTTAGCCGAATTTTTATTAATAAAATTTTTATATTTAGCCAGATTTTGAATATACAGAACTCTTATTTAGCTGAATTTTTATCAAACGTTACTTTTATTTAGTCAAATTTTTAATAAACCGAATTTTCATTAAACGGAACTTTTATGAATTTTTATTAACCCTAATATTTATTTAGCCGAATTTTAATTAAACAGAACTTTTATTTAGCGAACATTTTAAAAAATATAATTTTTATTAAGCGGAGCTTAACGGAGCAGAACTTTTATTTAGCGAAAATTTTAATAAATATTTTTTTTTTATTAAACGTACCGTTTATATAGCCGAATTTTTATTAATAAAATTTTTATATTTAGCCAGATTTTTAATATACAGAACTCTTATTTAGCTGAATTTTTATCAAACGTAACTTTTATTTAGCTAAGTTTTTAATAAATAAAATTTTTATTAAATAAAATTTTTATTAAACTGAACTTTTATATAGATGAATTTTTATTAACCCTAGATTTCATTTAGCCGAATTTTAATTAAACAGAATTTTTATATAGCGAACATTTTAAAAATATATTTTTTATTAAACGGGGCCTATATTAAATTGAATTTTTATTAACACAATTTTTATTTAGCCAGATTTTTAATAAGCAGAACTTTTATTTAGCGAAAATATTAATAAATATTATTTTTTATTAAACGGAACGTTTATTTAGCCGAATTTTTATTAATAAAATTTTTATTCGGACAGATTTTTAATATACAGAACTTTTATTTAGCTGAATTTTTATCAAACGTAACTTTTATTTAGCCATTTTTTTCAATAAGTAGAATTGTTATTAAACTGTACTTTTATATAGATGAATTTTTATTAACCCTAATTTTCATTTAGTCAAATTTTAATTAAAAAGAACATTTATTTAGCCAGAATATTAACTTTCATTGAGCGGAATTTTAATAAATAGAATGTTTATCTTTTTTTTCTATCGTTAAATTTTATTTTTGCATTTTTTTCTCGAATTTTTGCATATTCAATATTTTTTTTGGATTAATTTTAATTTTTATCCATTTGAAAACAGTTACTTTTCGAATTTATATAAAAAAGAGTTTTATAAAAAATTTTTCCATTTTTAAAATGGAACTGTAATAAAAAGCAAAAAAAAAAAAAAAAGAAAAATGACTGAAAACGTATAATTAAGTTGCAATGTTGAAACGTGGTTATCAGCAAGAAAGACGCGTACACACTTTTTGTTCCATTTCTCTCTTTCGTTGAGAATTAGTAATTCTCCTCAAACTCTCTATATTCAATTCATTTACCATAATAATTCTCTAACCTAATTTACATCAGTGATATTAGGAAACGTGTCTCCTTTTGACTTTGCATTTCCAGTAGCTATATAGTTAAATCCCCTTGGGGAAACGATATTTTCTCACTAATTTCAAACATATATATATATATATATATATATATATATATATAAAGGAAAAATTATTATTTTGATAATTTTTACTTTTAGAAAGTATAATATAATGGAAATTATAATATAATTAGAAAAATAAAGAGGACCGAGAATATATTATAATTAAAAACTCCTGTGTTAGTTTAGGTCGAAATAATAATAATAATAATAAACTATTTGACCTAGTTAAGAAACAAAATAATAATAATAATAATAATAATAATAATAATAATAATAATAATAATAATTATTATTATTATTATTATTAATAAAATTGTGATATTGCGATATAATAAAATTAAAATAAGAAGAAAACTAAAAAAAGAAAAAAGGAATTTCGCACATTTAAAGCAGGAAATATAAATTCTAATAACAGAGAAAGTTCTCTAGAAACTCTTCCCTGTTAAATATCCTAGCAAAAGACGATAAAATACACTCAAGCTTAATCAATATTTAACCGTATAGCTTCTTTAATAATTTCCTTAAAGTGTGAAATAGTGATGAGATAGAAACGAGCCAAGTTCATTTTTTAGTTCGAAAACTTCTCTCTCTCTCTCTCTCTCACTCACTCACTCTCATACCCCAAACGAGCAATTTGAATTCATCAAAATCGTTTTCCCATGTTATCCTCTCTACAGTTGCATTTTTAAATCGTTTCACAATATTGAAATTCAAAGAAATTATTTTTCCTTTCCTCGATAAATAAATTTAAATAAAAATTTCTTTCTAAAAACTTTCGCATTTTCATAAATTTTTATAATCCACGATTATAAAGCTGAGATTTTCTTGAAAATAACTTTTAACTTTTATACATATAGTTAAACACCGAGAATAAAAAAATTTCTTTGATATAAAGAAACCAATTTTCTTGACACGTTTTCTTTCATTTAAAATAAAATTTTCTTTGAATGAAAGAAAAGCTTCTTAATTTCAAAAAAAAATTTCTTTGATTCTAAAAAATTTTTTTTTTTTGAATGAAAGAAATTTGTGCATTAAATCAAAGAAATTCTAACCTAGAGTCAAAGAAACATTTATTTGAATTAAATAAAAAATTTCTTTGAAACGAAGATAATATTTTTTTTTTTTTTTGAATCAAAGATAATTTGTTTGAAACAAATAAATTTTCTTTGTAAAAAAAAAAAAATTGTCAAAGAAATTTTTTTTCTAGGTGAAGGGGAAACATTTTTTTTAAAAAAAGTTAATAAGGGAAAAAAGATTGTATAAAATTAAAAAAAGAAAAAACTTACCCGGAAGTTGCCTCGTTGTCAACTTCTGGCCATGATGGTCTTCTACGGCAGAACATTAGTGGAGGTCGATCTGTTGATCCTTTGCTTCGTCTAAAAGAGCCTACACGTCTTGGGGACAATTGACCACCACCTCCACCTGCCGCAGGATGTACCGACAGTCCAGGAACAAATGTCGAGTCGAGAGTTCGTCGACGAGACGATAGAGAACGAGCATGAGGCGGTGTTGTTGTCCCAGGAGGTGGTACAACCTTTTTTTAAAAAAAAAAAAAACAAACAAAAGAACGAACATTAATTTATCTTCAATTGACCAAATATTTTAAATAAAATAAATAATTTATAACTGAAATTCTATATTTAGCATGTATTTTATTAAAACCAAACTTCTATTTAGCCGATTATAAAGAAAATGTTTATTTTTAATTTTCATTTAAAAGAATTTTTATTCAACATACATTTTTATTTGACAAAATTTTTAATAGGCAGAAAATTTAGCTGAATTTTTTTTAAAAAAAGAATTTTTATTTAAATAAAATGTTAATAAAACATAATTTTTATTAAACAAAAATTTTATTAAGCCGAATTATTTTTAACAAAATTTTTATTCAGCCAGATTTTTTAATAAACAGAATATTCATTAAGCCGAATTTTTTTTACCAAATGTATTATCTTTTATTCAGCCAAATTTTTAATACAATTTTTATTAAACAGAAATTTTGTCAAAATTTTAATAAACATAATTTTTATTTAGCCAAATTTTTAATAAAGAGAATTTTTATTTAACTAAAGTCACATTTAATCAAATTTTTATTAAGAAAACTTTTATTTAGCCAAATATTAAATACATAATTTTTATTTGTACTTTTATATAAATTGAATGTTATTCAGTAAAATTTTCTTTTAAACAGAACTTTTAGCCGAATTTTAAATACAATTTTTATTATGTACGAATTTTTGTTCTAAGTAAATTCTCACCTAAGTGAATTTCAACTTTTTTTTTTTATTATTTACAGAAGTTTGTTTAATAAAAAATTGAAAAGACACTTGGAAAATTAATTCTACTCATATTTTCCCAGTTTCTGAGTAAATAAAACGGGGGTTTTTATTACAAAATTATTGTTTTATAAAGTGACAGTGTGAATAATTGTTCTCGTAACATTTTTAACCATTAAAAGTTGCATTTGGATAAAGATTAAAAACTTTCAGAAAGTTAGAAATAACTATCACAAGTTTTTAGTATCTTATTTACATAAATTTTTAATCTTTATTTTAAAAATCTAATTTTCTATAATGGTTAAAAATTTCATGACTGTCCTATTGCAAATTTTTTTTAAATAAAAATAATTTTTATTTCAAACAAAATTTTTTAATTAAAAATAAGAAAATTCTGTTTACAAATATAAAATTTACTCCACAACAATTATTATAAATATTCTTGTAACTTTTATTTAGCCAAAACTTTAATAAATAGTATTATCAATATTCTTTTAACTTTTATTTAGACAAAATTTTAATAAATATAATTTTTATTAAACGGAACTTTTATTTAGCCGAATTTTTATTAACACAATTTTTATTTAGCTAGACTTTTATTAAGCAGAAATTGTATTTAGCCGAATTTTTAATAATCGCAACTTTTATTTAGCCAAATTTTTTAAACACAATTTTTATTTTGCTAGATGTTTAATATACTGAATTTTTATTTAGCCGAATTTTTTAAACACAATTTTTATTTTGCTAGATGTTTAATATACTGAACTTTTATTTAGCCGAATTTTTAAGAAACGCAACTTTTATTCAGCCTAATTTTTAATAAACGGAAATTTATTTTGTCAAAATTTTAATAAAAATTACTTTTATTACATAAAACTTTTATTTAGCCGACTTTTTATTAACACAATTTTTATTTTGCTAGATATATTACATACACAGTACTTTTATTTAGCCGAATTTTTAATGAAAAAGCTTTTTATTTAGTCGAATTTTTAATAAATGGAACTTTTATTTAGCCAGATTTTTAATAGGCAGAACTTTTATTTAGCCAAATTTTTATCCAAATCATCTTTTATTTAGTTAAATTTTTAATCAATTCAGGAGTAATTACACTCAGAGAAATGTTATATTTGTCTCCGAGCCTACTAACTCATTTATTTGTTGCAAATATATATTTTATTTCATTGAAATAAAAAATTTATTTGAGCCAAAGAAAAATTTATTTCTGACAAATAACATTTTTATTTACGCCAAATAAATAAGTTAGTAGGCTCTGTGACAAATATACGTTTATTTAACTCAAATATATTTTATTTGGTTCAAATAAATCATTTCTCTGGATATACATTAAACTACATTAAAATTAAATTAAATAAAAAAATTCAAAATGCTCAAAAAAACAATTATTTTTCGTTCGATGCGAATTTATCTCAGCGTAAAATTATTGACAACGGTTTGTTGGGAGTAAATCTTTTTAAGAGTAATAAAAAAAAAAAAAAAAGAAATAGAGACCTTGTAACTGACCTTAGGAAATCCATGGTGGGTCGTCGTGGTGGAATTAGTTGTCGAGGTAACACTCCCAGTGGACCCACTTCTTCCAGCTCCGGTAGTAGTGGATTCTTCTCGACTAAATGAGAATCTCTTCGTTCCCAAGTTGAGACTTGCGACACTGTCGCTGACGTATTGATGTAGTGAATTAAAAAAACTCATCGTGTATTTTCATTAGTCACACGTTTCTTTTTTTTTTTTTTTTTGCTCTCCTTTTTTTATATTATGTTTTTCCAATTCTCGATAATATACTTATTTTCCAAGAGAACCTTTCTCTCTATTATAAGAAATAAAAAAAAAATAGTAAAGCACACGATTAAAATTTAATAACGTCTATAGAAGAAAATCGACACCTTTCCGCACAAGCAAAAAAAACACTCACACATTTTTCTTCTCTATATATATATATATATATATCACGTATAAAATTAACTCGATTTCTTTTGTACGATATCAGGAAAAAAACAAAAAAAAAAGGTAAAATAAAAAGAAATCGTGGCGGGAATAAAAAAAAGAAGATTGGTTTTTGAGATTGAGAAAAGAAAAATCTCGAAACTTTTTTTTTTGGCAAAAAAAGTAGTAATTGATTATGCTTTCAGATCTCGTTCGTTCGAGGGTTTGTCGATAGGTAGGTAAATGTTTTTAACTCACCCAGGAGACATTGTTCTTTTGATAGTGTCATTTTTTTTTGGATTTCAAAAGCTCTGAAAGATCCCTTTTTTTTTTTGTTAAGAAATTTTCTTATTTCTCGGCATTTTATATGGTCAAGTCATTTTTTTCACATGGGGGAATTTTTCTCACTGTACCACACGTAAAATTGTCATTTTACTTTTGACAATATACTTTTCATCTGGAACAAAAAAAAATGCAAATTTGTTAATTTTTATTAAATCAAACTGTTTTTTTATTATTTAAATTCATAAAAAATTAATTTATACACAAAGAACTTCACTCAGAACTAAATATTTTGTGGCAAATTTTTAATAAAAATGTTCAATTTTAGTATTATTTTAGTAATTTTAGTAATTCAAAAATATAATATTTTATAATATATTTTGTGTTTATTCGAAAGATAAGATCCAATTATCGTTTGTGTGATGAGCTCTCATGAGAATTTCTTGAAAAGATCATATTAAAAAGAAAAAAAAAAAATAATAATAATAAAAGAAAAAAAAATCTCTCTGATACGATGAAGCCGTAATATAAATTGAGACTCGAAAGGCCATGTTCGTGGTTGCTAATACGAACAGGAAGCAAATTAGTTTCCGAACAAATATTTACTGCCGATACAGTAAAGAGGTTGTATATATATATATAGGTCTAGGCTTCGAGGTCTAGCCATATAGACTCAATCGAATGGTCCATGTTTCTTGCTTCGGATTTTCCAGCATCACTCAGAAATTGAATTTATCAATTGGCCTTTATTCCGTTACATTCCTTTGATCTCGAAAATCTCGTGGGAATTGCAATTGATAAGGTTTATCCGCCAAATAATTCAACCCAAAACCACATACACTCCATTTCCCACATTCTCCGTCGGAGTAACATTCAAGTGTGAAATTATTATCCATTTTTTTTTTTTTTTTGTAAATTTCTTATATACAAAAATAAATTGTTCTCAAACGGAAAAAAAATTAATTGTAGCAATTACTACAAAACCAATTTTAGAATAAACAAATTGTAAAAACTGCTGTAAACAAAGGAAATTGTATTTCCAACAGGTTTGGGTAAATCACAAAACAATCTGATTTTTTAGGATTACAGTTACCATAGCAACCGTTGCTAAGGTTTTTGTTCACAAATCCGATTTGTACACTCGAATTTTTAGATTCTATTCATTTAATTTATTTTTAAAATCAATTAATTCATTTCTATATCCGAATTTCGCAAAATAGCAGATTTTCGGGTACACTGAAAAAAGGGTTTGGTATTGATAACCAAACGTTTTGTTGGTATTTAAGCAACAAAAATTTTTTTGCTGTATCAACAAAATTTTGGTTGTCCCAATTAAAATTTGTTTGACACAACTAAAATTAGAAAAAAAGGATTTTTGTTGTCCTAACTAAAGTTTGATTGGGACAACCAAAATTTTGTTGATCCAGGAAAAAAATTTTTAGTTGCTTAAATACCAACAAAACGTTTCATTATCAATACCAAACCCTTTTTTCAGTGTACTCAAAATCTTTCTGTTTTGTGAAATTCGTATATAGAAATTAATTGTTTTTAAAAATATAAAAACTAAATGAATAGAATCTAAAAATTCGAGAAATATAAAAAAAATCACAGAAATGCAATAACGAACATCGAATAGGAAATTGTGAAATACAAAAAGTTTAGTGAGGGAAATGAGAAATGGATGTTACATGATCGATAGTAAAATTTATAATCCATGTATATTCCAATCTCAAAACTATTCATATTCCCGTGTATATTTTCATAACTTGACGGAGAAAAGTAATGAAATTTCCCCCGAGTTTTGAGATTAAAAGTTTTCCACTAAAAAAAAAGGGAAACTCGCTCTCTTGTGTTTGAGACTTTTTTAATCACATTGAGACAACTTCGAAAAATCGTAATCATGACTTCATTCTCATAATATAGAATAAAAATATGATTGCTGCTATGAAGAGAGAGAAAAAAAAGAGGAGAACAAAAGTTGATTAAAGAGATTTGCATATGATATTATAATTTTAGAGACACGAATATCTAAACTAAGATTCTAGTACATAGTTTCAAAGTCCCTTGAAATTGATGTTATATAAAGGTGTGAGTTCCCATTTCTGATCAAAACTTGAGGTGTGGAATAGAATTATCTCTAAAGAAAATTAAAGCATGGTCAACTACATTTCCGTTGCGGTTACTGGAAACGTCGATAATAATTTGATTCATAGAATTGAAGCCACTCAATTATTCTCAGGAGATTTACAATTCCCGGTCAAGTGACATTGTAAATTATATATAATATATATTGAAAATTACTCTTAGAGAAATTTGACCCAGTTAGTAATTCATTATTTGTCTTAATATAGAAAAAGAAACGAAAATTATATAAATCCATACAACCTCAAAAAAAGCTACAAAATAAATGCAATAAATTTCAAAAATTAATTAAAATTTTTAAAAAAGATTTACTATACAATAATACCGGGATTACAAGTAACAAATTTTTTGTCTGAGATACCAAAAATCAACAAAATTCAAACGACATGTCGTAACTGAAACTGGGATTACATCTGCATAAATTACAAAAGAGAATACACAGTTTTTGTTGAGCCCTATCTTTAGATAACACCTGTGGTATTCCGAAGAGTTTTTCTCGAAAATTTTTGGTCCATTGTAGATTGGAGGATAATGATCCTACTCAAAAAGTGCTCCATTTATTTTTAGTAAAGTATTACCTTCTGTATAGTGTTTCTGATAGTTTATGTCGAAAATTAAAAATTTCGAGATTTTTTGGTCCATAGTTGCTCGGATGCTGTTGGTCCTATCAAAAACTGTCCCATAAATTTTTGTAGGGATATTGAGATATTTCATAGGATATTTTTTGTGGTATTCTCGAGAGTATATCTCGAAAATATAAATTTCGAAAATCTTTGTCCACTTTGGTCCATTGAAAGTCGGATGCTGTAGGTCCATTCAAAACATGATTCATACTTTTCTTTGTAGGGAACTCTCTTAGGCTACCTTCTGTTCTATTTCCGAGAGTTTGTGTCAAAAATATAAAATTTCGAAAATTTTTGTTCACTTTGATCAGTTTGATCCATTGTAAGTTGGATGCTGTTGGTCTTTTCAAAAACTGCTTCTTAAATTTTTTGTGAAACTACTATCTTGGGATAACTACTCTCCTGATATTCCTAAGAGTTTATCTCGAAAATTTTTTGTCCACTTTGGTCCATCATAGCTCGGAGGCTGTTTGGTCCTACAATAAAGATCACTACAAATTTTTTGTACGAATATTTGGATATTTCTTGTGGTATTCCCGAGAGTTTATTTAGAAAATATAAAATTTTGAAATTTTTGGTCCATTTTGGTCCATCGTAGTTCGGATGCTGTTGGTCCTTTCGAAAAGTGCCTGATATTTTTTTTGTACGGAACTCTCTTAGGCTACCTCCTGTACTATTCCCAAGAGTTTATCTCGAAAATTTTGGTACATTTTGGTCCATTGTAAGTCGGATGCTGTTGGTCCTTTCGACCTCATACTTTTTTGGTAAGGAACTCTCTTAGGCTACTTTCTGTACTATACTCGAGAATTTATCTCGAAAATTTAAATTATCGAGATTATTTGTCCACTTTGGTCCATTTTAAGTCGGATGCTGTTGGTTCTATCAAAAAGATCCAAATAAATTTTTTCTATAGGAATATTTGTATATTTCTTGCGGTATTCCCGAGAGTTTATTTCGAAAATTTTTGTCCATTTTGGTCCATCGTAGTTCGGATGCTGTTGGTCCTTTTGAAAAGTGTCTCATAAATTTTTCTATGAAACTCTTTTAGACTACTTTTCGTAGAATTTTTCAACGGTTTATTTCGGAAATTTAAAGTATCAAAAACTTTTTTTTCCTCTTTGGTCCATTGTAGATTATAAAATCGGTCTCAAATTTATCAAAAACGAAAACAAATGATCTGAGAATGAATCGCAATTTGTCTAATCAAAATTGGTGTGAAAATCAATAAATTTATTGACAGGAAAGGAATAGGGTTGGATTTTGTATCAGCCCTCGTCCATGTAAATGAATTGGGAATGGTTGTTCTTAATTGAAATCAAAGAAGGGAAATCGTGCGGGACCGAAGTTTCACACAGACAATCGTCACATCCGTGGGAAATTAAGGAGTCGTCTCAAATTGTTTAATTACGATTCCATTCCATTCGAACTTTCGACAACGCCTACTTTCTCTCTCTTACTCTCTCATTCTCTCTCTCTCTCTCTCTCTCTGAACGTTAATTATCGCGACAATTTGACACTATATGGATACAACCATTCGTAAAATATCATAACTTTCTATTCTTATTATTATTATTATTATTATCATAATCGTAGTTTATCATAATTATTATTATTTATATATTTATCAAAACATTCGTCTTTATTTATCTTTAATTACAGTTTATTATTTTACAAACAAATTATTAATTTCAAATATGTCCCGTTAATTATTTCAGTTGAGAGAATATTTCCTACGCGTCTGACTAAAAAGGATTTCTCTACTGGAAATCTAGAAACCATGTTGCCTGACTAACGTGTGTAGAAATTTTCCACGTCCATTAACATGATTTACTACTTATAAGCTTTGTATTTTAATATAATTGTTCTCATTTTCAAAATATAATGTTTAACAAAATTATAACGTATAATATAAATATTAATAAATAAATAAATAAATAAACTAATATATTATAAATTAAAATGATTGAAAAAAATTTTAAAATCTCTAATTTTCTCTTTAAAAATATGTAATTTTGAATTTTTTTTTTTTCTAAAAAGAATTTAAACTGCGTCATTATATATATGAGGGCATTGTTTACAAACTCTCTTTCCGTTTTTGCGCTTAATTTCAGACAAAAAACTGAAGAGTTTATCTAGTTTAAAAATTCTGCATTTAAGCTTTCATCATCGTGTTCCCAGAACAAATGCTTCTTTTTCGTTTTTTTTTTTTTTTTTTTTTTTCAAGAGCTGTTGTTAGAAGGTGGCTGTCGAGTGTTTATAAAGCACTTGAAAATGCTTCACGCTTTTTTCATGTACCAAAAAAAGAGAAAAAAAGAATTCAATTTTACTGCATATAGTGAAAATAATATTGACAAATCAAAATCCAAGAATTTTTATAACAATTACATTTTATTTTATATTTTTTATACTT